CTCTCTCTCTCTCTCTCTCTCTCTCTCTCTCTCTCTCTCTCTCTCTCTCTCTCTCTCTCTCTCTCTCTCTCTCTCTCTCTTTCTCTCTCTCACTTCCCCTCTCTCTTCCATACACACACTCACACACACACACCTTCATACACTACACATGCCACGCTCTTGTAAAAGAATGAAAACATTGACATGCTAACTCAGTAAAAAAATCCGGATGGTTATTATCATGCCGATGTGAGTATCAAAGCCGGAACAAATCACACTGGGTTCATTACTGCGAGAAGGAAGTACGTAAGAGGCTGATCGACCCCTCGTGCGTTAACACAACCACTGCTCGCTAAAGTTCGACGAAGAACCCCCGTGACACGACAACGATAAGACAACGCGCTCTCCTCATGGTGACCAAGCTCCGCAGAACACCAGGCAAAAAAAGGTTAAAACACAGGACTAGGGGGAAGAAGAAGAAGATCCTGTACCATGCCTCTTAGTCCTGATACCGCTCTTAGGCGAGGCGGACTAATCGGCAGATCCGCAGGAGGGAGTGACACATTCCCTGAGGCCTTTCTGCCGCTTGCCACGCGCGGCTTCATCTGAGGGAGAACCTTTTCCTTTGTCGTCGGAAAAGGGTGGGACAACAAGAGAGAGACAAGACAGACAATCGACGAATGCTCAGCAGGGGAGAAAAAGCGTGGCTGCAACATGCACGAGAAGATTCGAGGAAGGGCTGCGCAATGATAAGGGAGTGGGCCAGGGGGGTGGGGGAGGGGGGTGGGTGGGAAGTGCGAGTGAATCACTGCTTATCTTGGCTGTTCTGCGCGCCGCTCTGATCACGAGATCCAATAAACTGCGATAAGCCTGCCTGCCGATAGCGCTAGGAAAGTGTACCCAATCGTGAGATACAACAGCGTTGCGGCCCGCCTTGCTGGAGCTAAGAGTACTAGTTGTGATTGACAAATCCATACCGCCATGCCGCAGATGATGACATTCAGAAGCATAGCCAGGATGAGGACGATTGCATCCAGCGCTGCATGCTCATTGTTGCGCGATGGGGTATCTGCTGACTGCCAGCCGGTGGGGGTTTGCGATGGATGGCGTGCATCCGCAGCTAGGGAGGGCTCCAGCGGAGATTGCAGGGGAGAGTGGAGCGTGACTGGAGAGGGGTCTTGCGCGCAGGACGACGATGAAGCTGCGGTAGTGGCAAAGAGGTCCATGATTCCACGTGCAGGGCCCTCGCTTGTGCGCGGCGGTTGGTCGGTGGGAGGCGGTGGGAGGGACGCGATGAAGCAGAGGAGCACAATGCATGCGAGCAGGGCAAGGTACGCAAGGAAAGCGCAGGAGGACGCCGCATAAGCCCCTCGGTTGTCATCGAGGTCCGTCTTGCTGGCTGCGAGTTGCTGCTGTGAAACAAGGCCAGAACGTATGCAGACGGAGCCAGGTTGGTGCTATACCACTTCTTCATCGTCGGCCGGCTCCTCCAGGAGGTCCAAATCCACGAGGAAATCTATTCCAACCGATATTTACCGCGCGCTGGATGTAAACCACCCGTTCGTTTGATCGAACAAGTCCACCGAAATCTTCGCCCTCAATCACTCTTTCGTAATGATTGATGAGTTATGTTAGTGCCCCTCGTCCATTTACCAGGAAGAATAGCCCGTCGTGTCAGGTCATGGGACCCGAGACATCCCGGGCCTTGAGCCTTGAGACCTCCTTGCGAAAGTCGCATCCTTCCGCCAGCACCTTCGTCATTCCCTGTGAATAATGCCCATTGCGTTCGATTCCTCCCGTCTAGCCGTGCAGTTACCCGTATGACTAGCGCCTGTACATCGATAACTCCTTGGTCCCACCCGGTCCCAATGTTCAGGTCTCGAGCTCGAGTCTTTCTCGTCCTCCTCCTTACTTCGTTCATTTCCCTATGGTACCTCGCTTCTCATTTTGCGCGCTCCTACAGGATCCGGTACCGGTGTCGTCAACTCCCGAGCTTCCCCGGTTCCCAAGTGGTGACCGCCCCTCGGACCGTCCAGATTGCATGCTTGTGCCTTAGCAGATCCCTCGGAGTCGGTGACGGATCGATTCTGCAAAAAAACAAGAATGAAAACGACAAAGAAAGGAAAATGGTACGACTATATGCGTCCTAATCTATCTCCCTATGGTTCTAGCGCAGGGGCCAGGGTTCGAGCCTCAGCTCGTTCCGACCCTAAGGAAAACTTCGGTCGGGGTGCTATCGGGTAGTCCGTTTGATTCCTTGGTATCTCACTTTGATACGTGGGGAGAACCGTGGTAATGCGTGTGCACTCGATCAGTGGTGTTAGCCTGTTTTATTGAATACTTCCGAAGGAAAAGCGGAAAAGAAAAGAAAAGAAAAAAAGAAAAAAAGAAAAAAAGAAAAAAAGAAGGAAAAAGGAGAAAAAAGGAAACCAAGAAAAAAGAAAGAAAGAAAAATAAAGGAAGAAAAAAATAACAATGAAAGACGAAAAAAGAAAAAACGACAGAGCGGTCGAAAGAAAAACGAATGGCGAAAAAGGCCGGAGCCAGTAAAAAGACCCGTAGAGAAAGGTACAATGGCCCAAGGGGAGTGTGCCGATGCTGCCGCTCCTGGTTGCTCAACTAATCTCCCCCTCGTTCCACCCTTAGCCTGCATGCGTGTGTGTGTGTGTGTGTGTGTGTGTGTGTGTCTGTGACCCGCCCCTTACCCTCCGGGAAGGTTTGAGGCAAGGCCGGCAGCCACGGGGGGCAACTGGCCTTGCGGCCAGACACCCCCCGGAACCCACACACGCTCATCACAACCACAGACGCATGGTCAGCATTCATTTCATTTGAAAGTCCTCCTTCAGACACTGTAGGACCAATTCACGGTTCACCCTGCAAGGTTGGTAGTTATATTGGTCTGTGAACAACTTTTTGACAACCGCCCAACTTCTGTCAGTGTCGAATCCGTTGTCAAAGAGTGTTTTGACAACTTTGTTGATTTGCCTGGCGGCTTCTCTCGGGTTGGTGCACAGAATGAAGATTAACGCGACCTGCGCAGTGATGATTTGCAATGACTGTGCTATACTGCGGTGAGAATTAAATCTCACAAATCTAATGAGAGAGAAGTTGAGTCCTTTCTTCTTATCATGCTTTGTGGTGGAGAAGCAACCCTCGTGCGTGGATGAGACCGAGATGGTCATGTTCAAGAAGTTGGCCATGATACCCTGGTGTTCTTCGTTTTTTACTTCGGTTGTCTCCTTCATCTCAATGAATTCTCTTGGGTAGATCCAGATTGGATCCGCAGTTTGATCACAATCATCTCGAAAGAAGTCCCGGATGGAGTAGTTGTTGAGAGCACACAAGTCGTCCACATACCTGTACGTGCTGTCAAACTGGGGCACCAGGTGCTTGTTGCCGGAGGTCAATAGTCTCATCATGGCGTGATATTCATAATTGAAAAAATAAATATCACACCAGATGGGGGAGCAGGCAAGCCCCATGGGAATCCCGCGAACCTGCTTCCACACACACGTGCCGGTCTGGACCAGGCTATGCTCTAAACACCATTGCGACACACTAGTGATATCGGTTTCGGTAAAGAACAGTTCTTCCCCATTGTTCTCCAAACATTCCTCGGTCCAGAACGGGGTCATCTTACCTCGTGCCGTGATTGTTACCTTAATTACATCCCTCGAGCTCCTATCCCTCCGATGGCTCAGGGCTGTCTCGACAAAGAATCTAATTGCTGTCAGCAGTCCGTGCTCCGAATCATCCGTAGGGATGGTTTCGAAGCACCTCGTGATGTCAGTCGTGTACACAGCGTGGATCGATCGGGGAAGGTTCGCCGCAAGCTCACCGACCGATGAGATTGGCCACCACAGATTGGGCCTGACATCGTATTCCGCTTCCATTATCTTGCTCATCTCTGAACAGTAAGACTGCACAGACGGGGTCAGGAAACGAAGCAGGCAGGCACAAAGGTCAGCCATGGGAGAGACAACAGTGTCAGCTGTGTTAGTGATCCAGCGGAAGGACTGTTTGTGCGCTTTATACACTGTCATCAGGTAGGGCAGTGCATCGCGCGGTACAGACAGGGCTGGCAGATTGTTCAACTGCTCTTTCATGACAGGGATGAGCTGCTCAGGGTCTTCCTGCTGTAGTACAAAGTCAGCGCCCTGCAGTCTGCGAAGTGCCAACACACGAATGAAGTTGGTGCAGACAAAGGAGGGGGTGTTCGCATATTTATAAGTGGGAGCTACCAAGAACCTCTCCGTGAGGAAATCTATGTCCTGTCTCGTGCTCGTCTGATCTATCGGTTCCGCCGAGATGAACCTGTGCTTGCTAATGTACCCGTTCATCTTGCTCCTCGCCTTGTCCAACACGAGCTTCCTGAATTTCCGTCTCTAATACTCCCCCAAGTTGGCAATGTCGTAGGAGACCATGATGAGCCTGTCCAGTAGCCCGTTGAGTTCGAAGAGCGCTTCGTCGATGTCAAAGGCCCTGAGAGGAATATGATTCAGTCCGGCCTTGATCATTCCCCGCAGTCTGCAGTTGCTCGTGATCCCGGCATCCATGGTCAACACATACGTGTGTTCGGCGCCTGGGAGCAGATCCAGCGTTTTATCCGAATGGAACTGTAAGTACCTGTCCGTCCTGCAGTGACAATTCGCTTGATCGTAGTGATCGGTCCAGTGCTCGATGTCGAAGTTCTTAAAGACTTCCTTGGGTCTGCACACATACGCCGCTACGGGCTTCTCATATGTCCATCCAAACACCACCTTCTCCAGCCATTCCTTCACACCCTCCCCTACTAGCCTCTTTAGCTCACTTAGCACCAATCTCCGGACCGAGAACGCCTCCATAGCTCTGCTTGTGTACGTCATATGCAAGAAGGTAAGGCCGTTGTGCCTCTCTCTGCACCATACTGACCTCCCAGTGGGCCGTATGACCATCTGCCCCCCAACTCTCGTATCCTTGTTGCACCTCGGGTCCTGCTGACATGCACAATCAGAACGTTATTGCTCATGAAGGTTGTGTGCAGGAAGGGAAAACCAAACAACTAGGAGTACAAAAGGAAAAAGGAGAAGGGTAGGCAAAAAAGGAAGAAAAGGGGAAAGAAAGAAAGAATGAGAAAGGTCGAAGAGCAAAGAAAGGAATGGAACATCAATGAGTTCGGCACGCCGAGACTTCGTCACGGCGCAATGACTGCAGAGCTGCTGCTGCCTGATAGTCTCGGGCGAAGCCTCCTCCCAAAGTGCGAGTGCTCCGAGTCGAGTCCAGAGCCATCATCTGGTGATCTCCTTCTGCTGCTCTTTGAAGGTGCGTTCGTTGGCCCTGACAGTCCTGTCATGGGGGTGGCTGGAGTGGGGGACCGACTGCTAGGTCCCGAGCCATCCCGCCTGGCGGCTGTGAGTCGTGCATCATTTTGTCGTGCGACGACAAGCGTCTGCTGCGACATGCCCCCGTCATTGGCACCTCCTATTGCTTGCTGGTGTTCCGAACTCCCTTCCCCTTCCCTTTGTCGTTGTCCGTGATTGCCCAGCGCATTCCCTTGCGCTCCCGATCTTTCACGATCCCGTTGTTGAATGTGCGGTGCCTGAGGTGGCGATCCCTCCGCCTGCTGGTTACGTTGCTGTTGCTGTTGTGCTTGCGCTGCTGCTATGTTCCTGCGGTTTATCATTGCGACGCGTCTTTGAACATCCTCCGGGGCCTCCCCATTGTTAATTGCCTTGTTGGCTGCAGGAAAGTTAAGCCTACCCTGGCCCTGAATTAGCCCGGACTGGGCCCTCTGCCTTGCTGCCGGAGTCACCCTCCTGGGCCTGGCTGGGATTCTCGTGGGGAGCAGGATCCTCCCGATTGCTGGCGGAAGTTGTTGCCTCCACATCCTTTCATCTTTGATGACCCCTTCGACGCTCAGCTGGTCGTCAGCTTCGAGGTACTTCACAAAATCTGTCATGATCTCTTTGATGAACATAAAAATGATGCAGCCTATCACCGCGTCCTTCCACGTGGTCCTCAGGTAGTGTACTAGCATTGAGGTACGGATCTTGGTAGAGGACATGGTGGGGAATAGGACATCGGGGTGCGCTAATAGATACCAGATGGCATGGTCCACCCAGAGGGGGCCACCGGGACAGTCCTTGTCCTCATCGCTGGGTTTGCAGCTGCATTTGACGTACGGTCTGCCAGCACTCCACACCTTCCTTAGATTCCTGAGATCCAGGGCGGGAGTCTGTTTGATGGCTTTATGACACATTACGGGCGCCGTCTGTCCGCACTTCTCCGGGTCTATATAGCTCATTAGTGGGAATGATAGGTCATCGGGAGAAAAAGGGCTCACCGATTTTCCGCAAAACTTCAGCTGAGCCGTATACGCGATGGCCTTGCACTTCCTAACCTGTGCATCCGTTGGGCCTGCTAGGAATTGATAGGCTTTTACCGAGATTGGCGCCAGGTGGTTGTACGTGTCCAGCTTCCAGATGCAGTGTCCGAAGCCGGTACTCGTGTGTTCCACCCAGTGCGTGGAGGCTAACGGGGCGAACGCAGTGAACTGTCTGGATGCAGATGCGTGCAGTGGCCTAGGTGCTGCTATGCGTCTCAGCGGGGTCTGCCGCACTGTAGCAGAGATGGCGGCGATGCCTTGCTCTATCTCAGCCATCTCCTCATCGTTGATGTTCAGCGCTTGGCACGCGGCAGGCGTATGGTTGGCGGGCGGGGGTGCTGCCGGGAGAAGGTTTCTCAGATGCTCGTCACTCAGCCCCCAAGCCCTGAGAAAGATCTGTTCTACTCTAGCTACCCTCCCTGGAAGCAGCGCGCATTCTCCAGCATAAACCATTTTCCTGTTCTCAAGTTCTGCTCCTAGTTTCTCCACTTCTTCCTGAAACGAACCCCTCTCTCTTTCCCAGGTCATTGCCATCCTCGCGAGGTCACTAAACCCTATCATCTCGAAGAAATTGGGAAAGGCTCCCGATTCCCAGACAAGTTTAATGACGTCCATGCTCTCCGGCTTCATACATGTAATCAAGGCTTGCGCTGGTTTGCTGGGCCAGGGCCACTCCTCGAGCCATGGGAATCTTTCGATGACCTCGCTCCACCACCCTCCGGCTTCATACATTGATTGATTTGATTGATTGATTGATTGATTGATTGATTGATTGATTGATTGATTGATTGATTGATTGATTGTGTGTGAGAGAGAGAGAGAGA